AGGCTTTGCGCTGGGCACCGGCTCTCCTGCCAGCTCCCGGGGGGCTGCCGCTGGCTGTCGTTTCGGGGGTCCCCCTTCCCCAATCCCACCTCCGGTACCAGCCCGGAATGGGTGGGATGGGGCAAAAATTGCTTTGGTGGGTCCCTGCCGGGGGGGGGCTTTCCCTGACGGGAGGAGAGGGCATGCACCCCTCGGCGGGCAAACGCTAGCCTAGGAGCCCACGGACTTGTCCCGAGGGTTTTTCGTCACCGGTGGGAGCCGGCAGGAGGGAGTGGGAAAGGCATCGCTTTCCCAGGCGGAGGCGGCACTCTGGAGGGTCCCGGTGCGGCGTTAGAAACCCTCGGGAGGAATCCCCCGGGGTGGTAGCGGGCCCTGACTGCGGGGGCAGGAAAGGAAGAGGAGGAGGAGGAGGAGGAGGAAGAAGAAGAGGAAGAAGGAACACCTTCCCCTCCTGGGCACCCCGCACCGGCCCGCGGCGCGGGGGACTCCCCATCCATTGCCAGAGGTCTATCTGCAGCGAAAGGTTTCTCCTTCCCCAGGATAATTTCCAGCTGTTCCCACACGTTTTTCCTTTTAATTCCCTTCTTCACAGGGTCTGGACCGCGGTTTGTCAACGGGGCAGGACTCGTCCCACTGCCCCACCTGAGGGGGACGGGCGGACATTTCCTCTCCGCGTCTGGGCTATCGAAAATCACCCCGAATCTGCCTTTCTCTCTCTTATTTCCCCCTTTTCTCCAAGCAGGCGTCTGCAAACTTGGATCTTGATTCTCTTTTTTTTTTTTTTTTTTAAAGTAGTCCTACAGCCTCTAATTTATGAGCACTCTAAGCTGGTTGTAGACTCCCAATGTTTGCTACATTTGTAATAAATAATGAGATACTGAGAAGCCAGAGTCTGAGAGTGTGCCTCTCCTGCAGTATTTCTGCTGTAATTGCATCTCCCAAAGGAAAATTAAATCTTTCCCCGTTCTCTCTCAATACACATCCCGGCACAGGGTGAAGGCAATCGGCTGGTGGGAGGTGGTCGGGGAAATGGTCTTGCTTTGAAAAAAGGTACTTTTTACAGATCGCGACGACCTCTGGTCTGGTACTCCAGGGCCAAAGGACATCATATTAGGATGCTGCTGCCCCTGGGTATTTATTTCTCGTGCAGGACACAAGGTAAACCGCAACCCAGCATTTATAGCGAGGTACCAGCCTTAGTAGGTGCAGCAAAGTCATGCTTGGCTCAGAAACCTCTGGGCAGGAAGAGAGGAGGGTTACAGACTTCTTTTCTTTTCTTTTCTTTTCTTTTCTTTTCTTTTCTTTTCTTTTCTTTTCTTTTCTTTTCTTTTCTTTTCTTTTCTTTTCTTTTCTTTTCTTTTCTTTTCTCCTCTTTTCTTTTCTTTTCTTTTCTTTTCTTTTCTTTTCTTTTCTTTTCTTTTCTTTTCTTTTCTTTTCTTTTCTTTTCTTTTCTTTTCTTTTCTTTTCTTTTCTTTTCTTTTCTTTTCTTTTCTTTTCTTTTCTTTTCTTTTCTTTTCTTTTCTTTTCTTTTCTTTTCTTTTCTTTTCTTTTCTTTTCTTTTCTTTTCTTTTCTTTTCTTTTCTTTTCTTTTCTTTTCTTTTCTTTTCTTTTCTTTTCTTTTCTTTTCTTTTCTTTTCTTTTCTTTTCTTTTCTTTTCTTTTCTTCCTTTCCTTTCCTTTCCTTTCCTTTCCTTTCCTTTCCTTTCCTTTCCTTTCCTTTCCTTTCCTTCTCAGTTTCTCATTTCACATCCTTCTTTTTCTGATTTTCGGGGAGCAAAACCCGAAAAAATCGCTATTCCAAACATATTTATGTCTAAGGACTTCATCTCGTTTCTAAATACGACTTTTTTTTTTTCTTTCCTTTTTTT